ATATAGCTCCCATATATATTTTTATCCGATTTCGAATTAATTGTGCACCAAATGGGCAATACAAGTCCGAATTTAAAAGATACAAATGCTTCGGCATATTTAGTCCTTTGAACTTTAAATTGTAATTATAATCATAGCGTGTATGATTGAATTCTCCCATAAAAACTTTTAATTGTTATGCGGAGCTCTACTAAATTAGCAAAGTGGTGTAGGGTATCATAAAGTCGACCCCGCCCGACTTTAAGACTTTGTTCACTGGTTTAATTATTTGCTTGGGCGCCTGTCACATGTGGAATTCTGGAATAAGAGTTTCGTGGATATCTGTGGAAAGCTGTCTTTAGTACTGTTGTCCCTCTACTTTTTTGAATCCAAGGATATTTAACTGTATAGAGGTCACACGTATTTGTACCTTTGTACCAACCTGGAGTCGGGGCCTTCCTTGAATATATATTTATTAGAAGAAAAAGGAATTTTCTAGAAGTCCATACCAAAATTGCAGCATTATTTGATGCGAGATTTATGCAAATCTCCATGGAATGTGAAGATGAGTATATGCAGGACGACGGGCAAAGAATTCCGGCAACCAATTACCCATAACTTCTGAAAATCTCATCCGGAAACCTGTTGGAGTCAAAGCTGTGACTTTCACTAAAAAAATGTCCTCAATGTTCTCTAGTCTCATGCCGACATTATTTGGGCTGAAGACAAAGACACCTGGCTGACTTCTCATAACACGATAAATCAGCCTGTGGTTAGATATAAATCGCCAATATGGCCTGCATTGAAGAGGTACTTAGATCAGTCATAACGCCGCTCTTAAAACTACTTCAGGTTGCCATCTCAGTACATTAGTTGGTCATTTAAGCCACTGAAAACCCACGAAGGACCATGATAGTTTTGGCAAAACAATGTTAGCGAAAAAAAATAAAGAAGTGAAATATTTTCGATTGGAGCCCATAATAACGAAACTTTTTATTTAAAGAGTATGGAACGAGTCTCGAAACCTCAAGGAAATTAAGGGTTAGTAAAGCAAAAAATACATTTTTTTGTATTTAATTTAATAAGTACTACACTCTTCAATGTGAGGGTATATCAAATTATACTTTATAAAAAGAAATATGTATGTGAAACCTCCCTTTAACCCCATCTTTGAATCCATTTGGATTGAGAGCACATACACATACACACACAGACTCAAAACAAAACTCAAACTGAAATTGTGAAATATTAATTGTTTCATTAAATATTAATAAAGACATGAAGTGAAGATGAACTTAAAACACAATTTGTATGAATGAATGGCATAAAAAAGAATGGAGAAAAAGGGAGGGGAGAAATAGGCCCAGAGAGTCGAAGAGAAATGCCAGCAGTTGACAGTTAAGTCAGCATCTGGGTCCGTAGCCATGTTTTAGGCATAGCTACATTTGCTATGTCTTCACACACGACTGGCTTTCTTCGGAGCTTTCGGTTGCTCAAACTCATTCATTTGGCAAAAAGTCGTAGAACAACAACAACAGCAACACAAGTAGCTGTTGGCAGCTAACAGTATTACTGCGCATTAGGGATTCCCTGGGGACAAAGGCGGACAGAGGCGGCAGCTCTACTCGAAGAGGCCGAGCGAGGAAAGGAGTTAAAAGTATGTTTTTAATGGAAATCCGCCATGGCAGAAATATAGCCAATGCTTGCTAAGTGGGACAACAGCTTGAACTTTTTTCCTCGCTACTCAAACCAACACAAAATAAAAACGAAATAAAATATCAACAGCTCCACATGGAGAGTGTGTGTGTGTGAGTTTGTAAATGTATAAAATCTCTAATCGGATTATGTTTAACAGAAAATTACAAAAGAACACAAACAACATTAGCTTCCTTGTAATCATCAGGACAAGAGCAGAATGGTAGCCAGTAGAGGCCACAGAAGACTGTGGGGAAGCAGTTGGACCTTTTTGGTAACAAGTGACCGAGGAAGAAAAACAAAAACACATGCCTTCACTTCTGGGCCACTCATTTATGCTTGACTTACGGCCCCGGCCCCATTGGTTGCCTCTCTCTCTCACACACACACACTCTCTTTTCAGCTTCCTCTGAAACCAGGCCAAACAAGTGTTGGCCATATTGGATTGTGAAAACATCTGCAGCCTTCCAAAAAGCAGAGAAAATTAAAATTAAATTTTGCAATTTGTAACTCATTATTTATTTAAAACAAATTGAAAATTAATTTCGCATAGAGTCCGAAATTTGCCAGCACGAGTGGCACGAGCCGGGGAGAAGTTCAACGAGAGCACAAAATTTATAATGACGATGATGCTGGTGATGAAATATAAATGTTAACACTTTTTTTCCTTCTCTTGTGGAAGGTTATTGGAAGGTGGTTTAACCATCCCCCAACCCCCACAACGAATCCAAATAAAAATTCGAGCTGTTGCTAATGTCCATAACCTGGTGGTCTGTCTACCCCGTCGTCCTGGTGGGAGGTGAAAAATATACATTTTTAATTGTGTTTAAGGTTGGTAATGAAAGCCTAAGGTCATCACCGGCCATCATCCAATGCGAGTGTTTGCTGGCCACTCATTACCATCATTACACCGGCCATATTTACCCCGGGTAACTCGGAGATTATGTACAATGAGCAAATAAGGATATGAAATTTTGTTACAGTTGATGGACGGAGTTTGTATTTTTTTTATGTAGGTGTATGTGTGTGTGGGAGTGCGTTCAAAAGCAGTGATGATTTAATTATTTGTAAATAAAACAACAAGTTATCAAGTTATTTATACACAATTAATGAAACAAAAATGGGAGAACGATTTTTCTTTACTATAAAAAAAACCTCCGGCCTCAGAAATTGCAATGTTTTTTATAGAAAAATTCAGACTTCACACAAATAAGGTATTTTTTCCTACAGAAAAAAATGGAAAGATTTTTCTATAGAAAATAGTTGGCATTAAAAACCGATACCAAAACAATTCCTCAATTCCTGAGAACAATTTTTGTAAAAAAAAAATCCCAAAATGAAGATGAGGTATTTTTTCCACAGAAAAAAGTCGGTTTAAGGACATGAGGTGTCAGGTGCAAGGACTGAGGTTTTTTTTATACCCTTAGACATATAACTAAATCGTGCCTCATAACAATAAGGGTTTTTGACTCTATATCCTTTTCGAACATTTGGAGTAGATCTAGGGGTGTCCGTCCGTCCGTCTGTCTGGCTGACTGGCTGGTATGTTCGATAACTCTTGAAGGGAGTACCCAATTTGGTTGAAACTTAGCACATGGTAACATTGCAGGGTGTGATAAAAAACAGCAACAAAGTCAAACGCCATAATTGTTATATATTTCCTTCTTTAAATTTTATTGAATGAAAGCAAAAAATATCGGAAATAGCATCAAATTTTAATATAAGTTAAGATTTGTTCGAATTTGTCACCTTTGGCACGAAATATGGCCTTCAAACGGCCAATGAAACCGCCACACACTGCCCGAATGTTTCTCTGCGGTGTTTTGGCCATTCCCGGCGAAGCGCTTGCTTGAGGTGATCGACACTTTGGTATTTTTTAGTGTCTTTAGCTTTCCAAAATACTCCAGACACAATAGTCCAACGGATTGGTATCCGGAGATTTTGGTGACCATTGTGCGCTAGAAATGAAGCGAGAAACCTCATTTTGTAACCATTCTTGGGTGGTGTGCGCTGAGTGCGATGGTGCTGAGTCCTGTTGGAATGTCCAAGGTCTGCGCCAAAATGTTTGCGTGCCCAGGGTTTTAAAACACCCTCCAGAATATTTTAGCGATAATATTCGGAATTATTCTGATGTCACCGTCGATTAATACGAGTAGAGAGCCCACATCACCACCATGGCCGGTGCTTGAGTTATGGTGGCCAACCGAAGGTGCACATTTTCAGCTGACCTCTTTGGCAAGTAAACTCGATCATTTTGATTGTTTACAAACCGCAGGACAAAGAGTGTTTTCTCATCGGAGACAGAGAAAACCAAATTCGGCAGTTCACCACTTTCGGTCAATTGAAGCAACTCTTTAGCTCTTTTGAGTCTATTTTCTTTCTATTGCGGTGTAAGTTCTTGCACTTTTTGGAATTTCAATGGCTTTAATCCGAGCTCTTCTTCAAAACCAAATTTTAAATTTTCCAAATTTAGTACCATTTAGAACACCTAAGTACGAATTTCCAAAACTACTCTTTCCTCAGTTCAAAAATACAATAGAATTCTTCGCCCAAATCAAAATTGCACCAAATTTAGATCATTTAGTACTTTTCATGCACATAAGTACAAATTTCGAAAACTTCCTTCTACTCTCCGCAAAATTCAAATTGTACTCAATTTAGTACCGTTGAGTACTTTTTGTATACAAAGGTACACACTTCCACAACTACCTCCTTATATCAACTCTACTCCTCAAACTTGATTCCCATTCCATTTTTATATCTAACCGTTCACATGATACGAAATTGTACCAAATGTAGTACATTTTAGTACTTTTCGTTCACTTATGGTGCGAATTTCCAAAAACCCTTTGGTACATCAATCATAAACTTCACAGTGACCCTGATTCCAAATTTAAGAGTTCTAGCTCTACTGCTTCGTAAAATACAATGGAAGCCCAAAAAAAAAAAATGCAGTCTCGAGCCAATAGTGACCGTCACCCGAAATTTCAGGATTCTAGCTTCAGTCGTTTCGTCTGGGCTTTGATGATTATTAAAATAAATATTTATGTAAACGGGCTTTGGTTGAGGGTATACAACTGTCGGAAAACCGACTGAAATCTTTTAACTTTTTTCAATAGAAGAATATTTAGGAAAATTTTTAAAAACCAAAAATTGTTCCAGGATGTCGAAACCATTTTCATACATATTTTAGAAAAAAAATATATATAAACTTTTTTTAAATTCCACCCCAATACATTGAATCCTTTAAAAAATCTAAAAACGCTTAAAAACTTTCTTCCTCTGATGATTTCTAATTTTCGAAATTTTTCTCACCTTTGTTACAGACACCAGCTATTCGTATCATCCTGCCATACATGATGAAACTTTTGTGCGTCGTAAACAACGGCGAAATCGTACAACGTTTACACTGCAACAGGTAATTGATGTGAAAATATTTTTACGGTCTTTTAAAGCTGAAAAGTTTCTCCACGACACTTGACTTCACTTAAATCGGTGTTTCTTTGTTTTTCTTTTTTGCTATTGTTGTTGCAGTTGGAGGAACTTGAGACTGCATTTGCCCAAACTCATTATCCGGATGTTTTCACACGTGAAGATTTGGCAATGAAAATTAATCTTACGGAAGCTCGTGTACAGGTGAGTGAGAGCTAGAGAATATGAACCACAAAGGATATTTTGTTAGTAATTCAAAGCAAAAGAAAAGCGAATGAAGAAGGCAAAAGAAATATGAGTTGCATGAAATTGTTGTGCGTTGGTATGAATAAAACCACAACAATTTAATTTTTTTTAAAAAATTAATGTTTAATTTCCAAAAGACAAAATAGAACTCTCTAGAAAATGTAAAAATTATTTTGTTGTCACCAAATACCAAAAACTGAAAGTCAAGGCTAACTTGACGAAAAAAGAAAAATACAAAATCAAAGATGACTTGATCACATAAAAATAATATTTTTAAAGTAAATTATTATTGAGTACTTTCCGGCCGCCACAGTACTCCCCCTCCAGCGTTGTCATTCAGCGAAACGAACTTTCTTTGTTACAGATTTTGGATTTTGTCCTTGATTGTTGAATTCATTAGATAATATACACGGTTTCAATCTGTCAATAGAAACTACTTTCTCTTTTCCTTCAACAAGAATCTTGAAAATTTTTCCGTTCCTTGAAACAACTTTATGTGGGCCTGTGTATGGTGGTTGTAACGGTTTCTTCACTGCATCATACCTTAGAAAAACATATTGACATGTTTTCAGTTGATTGTTGATGTAAATTTTGTTACTACTGTAACATCCTGTAACTACTGGCTTTGTACTATTCATCTTGTTCCGGAATAATGTTATCCAATCAGATTCATCTGAAAGCTGCTGTGTGTCAATAATAAGTTCTCCAGGCAAAGCTAAACTACTTCCATAAACCATTTCAGCAGGAGATACATCAGTATCGGTGATAATTCGGGTTCGTAACCCGAGTAGGATGAGCGGTAGTGCACCTACCCAGTCATTACTATTTGTACATCTTATAGCTGATTTTAAAGTTCTGTGCCATCGTTCTACCAATCCATTTGTCTGAGGATGATAAGGTGTTGTGTGTTTCACTCTTGATCCGCATAATTTCGCAAGTTGCCTGAATAATCTGCTCTCAAATTGTTTACCTTGATCCGAAATAATTTCCAATGGCACACCAAATCGTGAAATCCATAGACTGACAAAAGCTGAGGCTACTGTTTCAGCCCTAATGTCTGCCAGAGGAATTGCTTCTGCCCATTTCGTGTACCTGTCAATACAAGTTAAGAGATATCGATAACCTTGACATGGCGTCAATGGTCCAACAATATCTATGTGGATGTGCTTGAAACGTTGAGTTGGTGGTTTGAATTCACCATACTCACTTTTCGTATGACGGTGAACTTTGGATCGCTGGCACTCGATACAACTTCTAGCCCATTCGCTCACATCCTTCTTTAATGACTTCCAGATGTAACGTGACCGAATTAAATTGACTGTACCTTTAACTCCAGGGTGTGACAATCCGTGAATAGTATCAAAAACTAACTTTCGAAATGATGGTGTTACGTAAGGTCTGATGGTAGAGCCTGATACATCACAGTAAATCTCAAATCCTTCATTCTTCATAAGTTTTAGCTGTAGACCGGACATTTTGCCGTTTAATATTGATTGCAATTCTTCATCGGATTGTTGCTCTTTTGCTAGTCCTTTAAAGTCAATGCAATGGGGCGTTCTGATTGTTTGCACACGCGACAATGTATCGGCCACCACATTATTTTTACCACTGATATGGCGTATATCTGTTGTGAACTGCCCAATGTAATCCAGATGTCGAAGTTGTCGTGGAGATGCCTTTTCCGGACGCTGTTTAAAAGCGTATGTTATAGGTTTGTGGTCCGTAAAAATGCAGAACTGACGACCTTCCAAGAAATACTGGAAATGCTTCAAAGTGGAATATATTGCCAGCAATTCACGGTCATATGCACTGTATTTAGCTTGAGCAGGCGACAATTTCTTAGAAAAAAATCCTAGTGGCTTCCACTCACCACTAACATACTGTTGTAGGACACCACCCATGGCAAAATCGGAAGCGTCGACACAAACTGATGTTGGTGCATTTTCGCATGGATAGGATAATAATGTTGCGTCTGCCAACTCTTTCTTGCAATTTTCGAAAGCTTGTGTCCGTTCCTCAGTCCACGTTATATCGCTGTTATCGTTCTTCACATTGGCGTTGTAAATGCTATGTAAAATTGCCTGCGACTTTGCAGCACCTGGTAGAAATCGTCTGTAGAAGTTTATCATACCCAGAAAACGACGAAGATCTTTGACAGTGCTGGGTCTCTTATATGCTTGTATTACCTGAACTCTGCTAGGAAGAGGTCTTAACCCTTCTTTTGTTACGAGATACCCAAGAAATTCCAATTCCGCAACTCCAAAAACACTTTTATCGATGTTGATAGTTAAACCATATTGGCGCAGTTTCTCGAATAATCTTCTAAGATGATTTTGATGTTCTTCCGCACTTACTGATGCCACGAGAATGTCGTCTATATAAACGTAAACGAATTCTAAGTCTCTACATACCTCGTGCATAAATCGTTGGAATGTTTGTGCAGCGTTGCACTATCCAAATGCCATCCTAGTAAATTCAAATTTCCAATCGGTGTTGCTACTGCTGTCTTTTTTATATCTTCTTCTTCCACTGGTATATGGTGGTAAGCTTTAACCAAATCAATTTTGCTAAAAATTGTCTTACCATCCAGCAATGCACCAAAATCATGAATATGTGGAACTGCGTATCGGTCTGGGACGGTGCGAGCATTTAAACCACGGTAGTCACCGCATGGACGCCACTCACCATTGGATTTCTTCACCATATGTAGCGGACTAGCCCAACTGCTATTTGATGGACGACAAATACCAAGACGAATCATTTCCTCGAATTCTTTCTTCACAATTTGTAGTTTTTCAGGTGGAAGACGTCTGGGTTTGCTGAAAACGGGTGGACCTTTCGTAGTTTCGATATGATGCTTAACTGAATGTTTTGCTCTAGATTTGAAATTAATCTTTGTTAAGTCGTTAAATTCTCGCAGCAATGACGTATATTGAGATGATCTCGAAATGCATTTAATAGCGGAATCCTGTACACTTGCTATAGCACCATTACATTTCCAATTGGTGTGGGGGTCTATAAGAGTATTATTCTTAATATCGATAAGTAGTCCATATTTCCCCAAAAAATCTGATCCAATAATAGGTTTTTGTACATCAGCAATTACGAAGTTCCATTTAAACAATCGATTCATTCCCAAATCTATGGAAAGGGTTTTTGTACCATATGTCCTAATCGGAGTTTGGTTTGCGGCATACAAAACAAGCTGACTGGGAGGTTGATTTCGCATGGATTGCGACACAGGATATACCGTTAAATCTGCCCCTGTATCTACTAAATACCTGGTTTCGATTTAATGTCTCGAACAAACAGGCGACATATATCTGGGGTACACTCATCCGTCACCAAAGATGGTGCACCATTCAGTTTTCCGAAGTTGGAGGCTTATAATTGCATGGAGCAAGACATTTTCTGGCTTTCTCCCCAAATTTGAAATGATACCAACAATAAGGTTTTGATTTGCTTCCGGAATTTGACCGTCTATTCCTTGATGATGATGACTTGCTACGGCTTCTTGACTTCCTGAAGGAATTTATCTGCGTGCAGAGCGTTTGCAATTTCTTCTCAATTTCCTCTAAACGAGTGCTCGATGGATAAAAGCTGCACACATCCGATTCACTGCTATCCGCAATCTTATCGGCCATCGTTGATAATTTGTCAAGACTATCTTCACTAACTGACAATATCGCCTTCATTTGTGAAGGAAGACGTTGCATCCACAACTGCTTCAAAATGTCGTTTGAAACCTTACCTTGAGACAAAGACCGCATTTCGGATAATAACTCTGAAGGCTTCTTGTCTCCAAGTTCAACGTTAGTCAAAAGCTTCTTGAGACGCTTCTCCTCTGAATCCGAAAAACTGCTAATAAGTTTTTCCTTAAGCTTGTCGTACATGTTTTCCGCAGGAGGATCGACGATGATGTTTGATACCTTCTCCAAAATACTGCTTTCAATAGATGCGACAATGGTATGGAATTTTGTGGAATCTTGCGTAATACCAGCCATAATGAATTGCGATTCCATTTGTTTAAACCAAAGCAGCGGGTCTGAACGCCAAAATGGTGGAGCTTTCACAGCTACTCGCGAAACTTCCATTGATGGTCCAGAATTTGTAGCGGTGGTTGCCATTAGTAGGTCTGATTTCCGTTCAATTGGCTGTTCTTATTTTTTGTCCGGGGTCACCAATTTGTTGTGCGTTGGTATGAATAAAACCACAACAATTTAATTTTTTTTAAAAAATTAATGTTTAATTTCCAAAAGACAAAATAGAACTCTCTAGAAAATGTAAAAATTATTTTGTTGTCACCAAATACCAAAAACTGAAAGTCAAGGCTAACTTGACGAAAAAAGAAAAATACAAAATCAAAGATGACTTGATCACATAAAAATAATATTTTTAAAGTAAATTATTATTGAGTACTTTCCGGCCGCCACAAAATGTTTAAGGATTAGTTTAAAGTAGAAGAAAATACTTCAAAAAGAGGAGGGGCTGAGTGATAAAAAAAATCAAAATAAAATCCAAATACATTTGCAACATTTATTTTGTTAAGAATTCTAAAATTGTATCAAATTTCATTTGTTCACTTTTTTTGGTTGCTTGTGGACCACTCGGATTATGCATTCATATTGCCATCAAGCATAACGACCCTTTCGTTTTGTCTGCCCACCACATTCACTCCCCCACACACAGACATCCCGTTTTGCCAGTTTTTGTTGTTATTATTATTCTGCATGTCCTTTTGTAGGACTCATAAATGGATTGGAGTCTCGTTTTTTCCATCTCAGTCTTCTTTTCTTCTTTATTTTAAAATATGTCATGCATTCTGATCAAAAGGATTTTTCAGTTTTTTTTTTTATTCAAACTCGGTCTCCGGTATTTTGAAGAATATTCAATTTTGTTAATGTTTCTGTTGCTGCTGCTACACCTCGGCGTTGGCGTCTCAACTCGTCCATTATAAA